GTCATGGAGAATTGGAAATCAACATCGAAGTGTCACAACATTGGGTGTACAACATGCAATTATGGAAAATTGGAAATCAACATCGAGGTGTCACAACATTGGGTGTACAACATGCAATTATGGAAAATTGGAAATCAACATCGAAGTGTCTCAACATTGGGTGTACAACATGCAATTATGGAAAATTGGAAATCAACATCGAAGTGTCTCAACATTGGGTGTACAACATGCAATTATGGAAAATGAGATCAACAGCCAATTGTCTCAACATTAAGTGAACCATATGCAGTGATCAAGAATATCAAGTTTGACAACATTTGGTGAACAACATGCAGTGAAGGTCATGAAGAAAAAAACAAACAAACTTGGTGATGGAAAGATATTTATAGTTCTCATGTTGAAGGAGGAACAATTGAACCATTTTATTATGCCAATATTAAAATTGTAAAATCATTTAAGACAACATAGAATTTGTCATTTCTGTATTTTTCTGCACATGTGCCAGGAACAAATTATAACAGCAATATATTTCATTGGCATTTGTCAAAATGATAGCACAGTAAAAACCTGAAGGTCTCTTTTTGAGGTCATTGAGACAATTTCTAAATAAAATAAAAACAGCTGGTAATTTCATTGTTTTTATAAACAAATTGACTGGAAACTCTAATGCTGAGAATGTATTAATTATTGTATAATATTATTAAAGAACTGAAAAAACAAAGCAATTGTTCAGGGTATTCTATTGCATGTTTTAACAAGCAGCCAGTCGGCTGAGATAGCTCCGCTGTTAGCAATGCACATTTCAATTAAAGAACTGAAGATATCATTAGAAAATGAACAATATGTATAGGTACATGTATCAAAACAACAGGACTGTTTTCAACAAGAATTCAAAAATATCACTTTTCACCAAAAAATTAGATAATTGAAGATATCACCATGAAATTAACAAATCTGAATATCTAATATAAAAGCAATCAGACTTGCGGTTTCAACAAGTCAAAAATATCACTTTTTACCAAAAATGACAAAAATATTCACCAATATTAGAGAATTAAAGATATCATTACAAAACGAACAAATCTGAAAGAGAACCACATGTAGTACCAATATATACGATATCAACGCAATTGGACTTGCGTTTTTTAACATGAAAATACGGCCGTAGGATACACCGCATCACTCGTGAAAATAACTTCCATACGCAACGAAAGCCACGGGGAGGGTGTGGGGTTCTGTCATAATATTACATGCATGAGAGACTTAACAATGTACAATATAACTTACAGTACAATGAAGTACATGAATATATCATTGAAACATTCAGACACTAGTTCCTTATTAATATGCATAGCATACCCCGCCTAAATCAACCTTTGGTGTGACTGATTCAGGAAGCACTACATTGGGCCAACCATTTATACAACTGAAAATTGTATTGCCAATACAACACAGCTGTGGTGCAAATAATCTTTTACAGCTAGACCTATAACCCATTAACACATACAGACAAACAAATGCAACAGAAGATACTGAATTAATTATTCCACTTTGAAATAAAACAATTTAATTCGAACTGAATTAATAACAGATACATGTACAATAATAATAAATGAACCTGCCATGTTTTATCATTTTATTTCTCATTAACACATCGCCTGCCGAAAGCCTTCACGAAAAAAAGGGTGATGGTGATGTGTTGGTACTTTATTTCATTTTAGTGTACCACAATGCTCAATGAAGGAAGATAATGGAATCCCATATCGTAAAAATTGAGGAAAATAATAGTTTTCTTAATAATAGTTTTGCAACCTGATTTTCCGGCACTATATATATGTGAAAGAACAGTTGCATGTGGAACTATGGATAAATTGTGTCATCTATTTACGTGGTTGTTGTATTGGCATACTATGTTTGCTTTGTGGATTGCGGTTGTCATGCTTTGGAATAGGCTTCTCGTGCATCACTTTCACTGCCTCTGGTGGAAAGTCTCTATCACCTTTGCTTACTACACCAGAAATAACCACAGTTGTTTTAGGAGGACTGTAAATAAAGCAAAGAGAACATCATTTAGTTGAATGCTAATGTTTAAAGTTTCTGCATCAACACAATGCATTTGGTCATTAAATTTTAACAACATACATTTAGTATTTGCTTTATTGAAAGCACATCTCCAATAAAAGCACATGTACATCAAAAACATTGCATTTTTTGCATGCTGAAGCATTACAGTCACCACATTATTTTTTTGGACACTAAAACAGTAAAATTGACAGCTCAGGTGCTGAGTGAATGTGCTTCTTGGGATCGTTACACGATTGGAACAAGTTTAGACAAACCAACCTCAACAGGTGACATAAAACTTGTACTAAATTACATGTTAAATATTATTATAGAAGATGTGACTTCTTTGTAA